GGGGGGGATTCTGCTCCGCTCTGGGGAGACCCCCCCTGCAGTGCTGCCTCCAGCTCTGGGGCCTCCAACACGAGAAGGTCATGGACCTGTTGGAGCAGGGCCAGAGAAGGCCACAAAGACGATCAGAGTGCTGGAGCACCTCTCCTATGAGGACAGCCTGAGAGAGTTGGGGTTGTTCAGCCTGGAGAAGAGAAGACTCTGGGGAGACCTTGGAGCCCCTTCCAGTACCTAAAGGGGCTTCAGAAAGCTGGGGAGGGACTCTTGATCAGGGAGTGTAGTGACAGGATGAATGGTAACAGCTTTAAACTGAAAGAGGGGAGATTTAGATTAGATATTAGGAAGAAATTCTTTACTGTGAGGGTGGTAAGGCACTGGCGCAGGTTGCCCCGAGAAGCTGTGGCTGACCCATCCCTGGAGGTGTTCAAGGCCAGGCTGGATGGGGCTTGGAGCAACCTGGGCTGGTGGGAGGTGTCCCTGCCTATGGCAGGGGGGTGGAACAAGATGATCTTTAAGGTCCCTTCCAACCCAAACCACTCTATGATTCTATGAAAACCGTGCTTTTTCCCTCTAGTGCACAGTGATGCTCACTTCTAACTGACCTTCATAGGATGAAATTTCCATCCCCATCCTTTTGTACCTGTCACCAGAGGATTTTACGGGGGAGAAGAAAAGGAGCCCGTTCGGCCTGAAGGAGTGAGCTTTCCCCTTGTCAAACTCCAAAAGGGCATTTCACACACTGTTTGCCTTCTCATTCCAGTCTGAATTTTTTGGAGTGAAGGCGTCGTGCAGACAGCTGAATACAGATTTCTGGTGGGGTTTGTCTAGATGTGTCAGCAGCTGCTCTTTTTGCATGTTAGTCACTAAAACCACTTTGTTCTTGCAGACTGGCAGTGGAGGGAAAGATGATGCTAATTGACTTCAGGTTGGCATTTGTGGCAGTTTGCGTTACAGATTTGAGTCATATTTAAAAATTAAGACTTTCAAATGAATGTACAGACTGTACTGGAATAGAATTTCACTGTCTTTCACATTTTATTTAGGAAATAAAAAGACGACAGCTTGCAGAAGCTGCTGAAAGGAGGCAGATGGAGGTAATGTCTGATAAAATGCCATTTATTCAAAATATATTTTGATACCTGGTTTATGGGGAAAATATCTAGGGCTTCTGTGGGAACGCTGGATATCGTGCCTGGATTGTGGGAACTCTCATTAAATATTTTCATAGTATTATTAATGTTTTACCTTTATACCATTTTTACGATCTATTTACAGTAGAGTTTCACAGCTTGGTAGGTGCTCAAAGACCATTGCAAGATAACAGCTTATTTGGAAGGGCAAAGTTTTGCAGTAATTAGAAAACAACCTAAGAACTGAAGAGCTAGTTCCCCATTATAAGACTTGAAAACAAAAGATTGGGAAATATTTTGAGCCAGATTTGTCAAGCAATTGTTGTGGTAGCAATTTCAAGTGGTATTGCACTTGTACTTCTCCTACAAATGCAAGTTATGGGCACTTACAAGTCGAGTTTATCAACATGGCAACAATTTGAGCACGTTCCTCAGCTCAAATTCCATCAAAGAAATAGTATTAACTTATTTGTCTATCTTTAAGTTTACTAAGCTTCAACTATTAAAATAGCCTTAAAGTTAGAAGAGCTAGGATGCAAATATTCTAGCAGAATGCAGAACTAGCTGGCCTATTTCTTCTTTTCCATACTTCTCAAAAAAGGCTTATAACACGCACCATGCAAAATCTACAATACATAAAAAGTCTATCTTAGAGACCACCACTGAACTGTGGAGAGAGAGGAGTTTGTTGTTTGTATGAGTGTTAGTGACGTTTTTTTATTGAATTAAAAATTGAACATTATTGACAAGGACCATGTTGAACTGGTATTAAGGGAGTCTGGTGAATAATCAGAGCAACAGCCAAGTGATGCTTTGGAGTCCTTTAAAACCTCTTGATTTTGTGTCAGATACATGCTGAAAGCAATCCACACGTAGTCTTAAATTGCAAAGGGTTTTTTTGAGCATAACTGTAGGAAATGTACTTTTGAGGAGCATGTGCAAGGGGAAGATCGCCATCTAGCTCTTAAATTGCTCCAAAGCTTTCCTGGGAGGAAGGAGGAATGAAGCAACTTGGGTTGTGGATGGTTTTAAAGTTCCGTGGTAGCCGCTAAGCTGCTAAAGAAAAATAGAAGTATCACTATCTTCCTTCTTGTTTTGTAGATAAAACAGGATTTTTCAGGACTGTCTTTGAGAGCGTTTTAGCCTCTGAATGTTGGGTGATGGAGATGTCTCACAAGTAGCCTCATTTAGTATCCCCCTTGTGGGGGACAGGAGAGTAGATCAGATGTCCATCCCTGCTGAGTATTTTCCTGTACACGCTTCTTACCTGCTTCCCATTCAGCTTGAAGTCGTGTGAGGGGTTCTTCCTTTTGGGGTGATGCATTGGCAGTCTGGGTACCTAACTCACTTGGAAGGCCAGTTGCCCAATAGCGAGAAAACATGGGGTCTAAGTTAGTACTGGTTGGCAAGATTTGCCTTAGAAGCCCATTGGGAATTGCGCTTGCCATCAGGGGCCAAAGTTTCTTAATTTCAGGTGAGAGCATTGCTGTTTTCCCTTTGGTAGATTTTAACATCTTTTGCATAGCTTATGCTGTAGTATCGTAACTGTAAACTTAGCTAAGAATCATTTTTAAAAACCTTTTCTTTCCAAGTTTACAGTGTTAAGTGTTTGTCTGTCGTTCTGATCTTCCTACCATCTAGTCTCGGTCCTCATTAGACCGTCACCGTGAGGGTACAAAGCAGGCAGCTGACAACAGGTTTCTCGTCTGTGTGCTACTGCTGTCCACACGTCCTGTGAAGTTGGAAGGGTAGATGATCACACAGGTTATTTCTCCCAGAGCACAATTTGGAAGTTGGATTTCTGACAGCCTGGGCGAGCACTGCTAACACGACCCTTTTTTCTCCCCTGCCTGTAGAGTTCCCATCAATTTTTGTAGTAGCTGTACAGAGCTTGTGACTTTCTCTGTCCACTTACTGAGTGTTAGAATGGAAGCTGTCATTATGATTTCCATCATCTGTATCATCTCTCTGGGTAGCCTTTTGATAAAAAGAGATGGAAGAAGTGAACAGATGGTGAAACAGCTAAAGTTCTTGGAGGTTCTGTCTGCCCGAATTGTCTCTCCCCAGTTAATTCTGTTTGTGAGGGCAAGAATAGCCTCTGACACTGGAAAAAACACAGACTAAAAATTTATGGGACTTTTTGGAAGGGAAATTCTGGTTCTGCATCTTAGAATGCAAAGCAGGTACACGTAATTGCATTAAATATGTTCACCTGGATGACATGACATAACAACATGAAACAAAAACACTCTTACATACCTATGGGACCAAGAGCTTACAGTACGAAGAAGTATCCCAAATGGTCTGGGTTTATGTACTAGTAGCATTATTTAATGTTTCGGTCTTTTATTGCAAACCAGAGTTCACAAAACGGTGTTGTCAAGACTTGCAGTTTGGTTTCTGACCAGAAAAACAGCTAACTGGTCTTACCCAAATGTGTTTTCTCCCAGGCTTCTTCTCGAGGTATTAAGAACGCTTACTCTGTAGAGCAAAAGAAAAAGAAACAGGAAGAAATAGAGAAAAGAATTGCAGCTTCAGGTTCTGGAGGAGAAGGAGGACTGAGAGTAAGTTTTAAAAAAGAAATAACATGATGCAATTGTCCCTACATTCACTGAGAAAATCTTGTTTTGTTGTCATCTACAAGATTGACTAACTTGACGAAAAACCAAGAGGAAGGGAAATGGAATAGAAACGGAAGCCCATGTCATTATCACACCATGTTCTTAATGAGACTTCATTTCTGGGACACAAAGCGACGATGGCAGAGAGCTATTTCTCCCCCTCATTCTTTCTCCCCGGTTTCTGCACCTCTGATGCGTCAGTTCTACAGTACTCTCAGCACTGGGAGCTCCTCACTGAGCTGACCTGTGCTCGGGGTCCCTTTTCACTACTGGTTGAGATAGTTCAAACAGTTTCTGTAAACTCTGAGGAGAGAGAGACTAAGTAGGGTAATGCTTTTGGATTTCATGGATCGGTCTCTTTTTCCAGAAGAAACATACCATGTTGGCAGAGATACTGATGAACTTTCCTGCTACTACTACTACTTTTCTAATGTCAACTTTGTCTCAGAAGGCCTGACGGATGTCATTAAGAATTAAATCTCTCCAAGGCAATAGATGCATCTGGTTATCGAAACACAGGCTTCACAAGCCTTTGTCTCGTACCCTCAAGGCTATATATGACTTGGGGCAGGAGTTTGTATAAGCTGCTGCTGGTGGGCTGCATGTCCCTCGCTTGCTTGAGATAAAAGGTGTTGTCATAGTGAATTTACTGTCTTTATCTTGTGGTGGTTTTGTTGATTTGGGGTGGGTGGTTGTTTTTTTTTTCCTATTTTCCCCTATCTTCATACAAACCTGTGGTGCATTTTATTGTTTTTGTCTTCAGTGGCAGGTTGGCTAAAGAGCTGCGACTTCTGAAGAGAAGAGTGATGTTTACTGCCAATAACTTGCCAGTTTCTGCAGCAGAGTGGCACTTGCTCGTCATGTGGCTTTTGCTGTTTGCATATGAAGACTCAGCAGTACTTTGCCATTGTGGGAGGACAGATGTGGACACATACACTAAGAAACCTGAGAACTAACTCTGAACACTAAGTTTTGGCCAAATTTGTTTGTTTGTTTGTTTTATGTGCATGTTTTCTTGCTTCCTGGCAAGGGAGTGAGGTGGGTTTTCACACAGGGAAGTGGCGTCCTTACCTGTAGTCAGTGCGTACGCGTATGCCGTCTGGTCAGCTGATGCGTCTGTGTCCGCGTATGACCGGCTTAGGCACAGCTCCGGTGCCCATGTGTTGTTTTTGACGCTTATTTTGAGCTCTACAATTAAACTTTTCTTTAAGTCCTCATGTAGAAAGTTGTTCATAAATATATATATATTTGAATAGGTGAGTGACAGCATTTCTCTCCAGTTTCCTAATGACTTTTGAACTGCTTAGGGATTTAGTGCCTTTTTCAAAAAAGAAAGCAGACTCACGGTAGGTCCTTACAAATGGAAACACTTTGTGACACTAGTTAAAACCTTAGAAACCTTTGTAAACCCTGTATACTTATAGCAAGAAAGCTGTTTTATTATGAGTCTAATAACTGTTCTAATTTTCTGATGTGGATTTGAGTCTGTAAGTATTTATCATGAATACTGGAAGTTAAATATTAAATTAAAAATACTGTTATTAATTGTTCTCCTTTATTACCACAAGAGGGCAATGCTGCATTTCTGAGGATTTTGAAAAACAAAAAGCCAAACTTAACTACGTCATCTCTTGGATGGTTCATTTCCTAAAGTTTTTGTACTATCTAGGTGGGTTTGTTTTTTGGCAAAAACGTTTGCCAAATGCCCAAAGCTCTGTCACTTTTCTTCCTTATTCAGCAACATCTGTAGTCCCTTTCCCCAGTGTGAAGGTGCCTTTGATTAGTTAAGAGCTACCTAAACTACGGTGTGACAACTAGACTCTCAAACTAGCGGCCTCAAGCCACAGCTTTGATAGATGAGGGATGTTTGTTGCAGCATGATCAACACTGAGAATCTGGCTCTTATTTTCCCACAGAGAGCATTATGGTTGGCCTCACTGTGTTACTGGCCCCATTTTTGACCTAGTTTAGGCTACAGAGGCTTTTTTTTTTTTTAAACATTTCTTCTTTTACCTCTCCCAGTACTGTCTCACGCAGTCTTAGGAGCACAGTCCTGACACAATGAGTTTCCTGGCCTGGCTGTCAGAATTGAGTTGGGAGACTTTTCAATATTAATATAATGGTGTTTGAGCTAAAAGACTGTGTCCTTGGCAGATGAATACCTTCAGTTTCCTTTGATTGCTGGCAATTGCTCTCGTCAGTGTATTAATTGGTCATAGCAAATTTTAAGTCTAATGAAAATGCATTGAAATATAATAAAATATACTAAACGTTAATTTGAAATGCGAATTTCAATCCAACATCTGTCGCAGTGGGTGTCCCACAAAGACACTTAAGGAGCACTTAACTCTTGGTTGGTCACTTGGGGTATTTCAAACTTAATACAGCCGTCTTTTCCCTCTCCATCATTCCACTCCCCCAAAACTATAAGGGCAGGAAATAACCATGAGTCTCTTTTCGTGCAAGCCCAACGGGAGCCTACGCTTGAGCTAACATCATGAACACTTTCAGTGAAAGCAATTGAAGTAACCCAGTGAAACAAATCACAGGTCTGGAGTCCCCTGTTGATATTTCCACGCTGTCAACATCGGAGGAGTTTCCAGTGTGAAGCACTCATCCCGCGGTGCGGCACTGTGCTGCGCATCCTCGCTCGGCAGCCCGAAGCGAACCTGGTCTGCTCTGGCTCTGTCACCAGTCGAGGCGCTCTGCGTTTGAGTGAGAGATTCCACCCGGTCCGAATGCCCACGCTGCTCCTCATCCAGCGCTTAGTGCTGTGAAGACGCTTGGCTTGCCTGTGGCTGCCCGCACGGCCGCTGCCCTGGAAGGTGGGAGTGAAGGTCTGAACCGCCTCAGACTGAGGGCACCTTGTATTTAAGAGGCAACTCTTGCAATGCAGAAGAAAATACTGCTCTTCTCTCTCCTTTAAGTAAAAAAACCCCAGATTTCTCTGTGCTTCTTAAGAATCCTTCTTTTGAATGTCAGATTTATGCCCACAGCTAAGAAATACATCAGAGAATTTGAGGGGGGGGTGTAGTTCTATATAACCAATCACTGATTGATGAAGCTATTTTTAAAGAAGTTTCTATCACAGACCCATCTAACTGTTCAGATGGCCACTCTGAACTGCATCCGGAAATGATTTGGGTAAATAAAAAAAAAAACCCCACCTCTCATTGTTTTAAGTTTTTAGGTAACATTAATTTCAGTTGAGAACGAAAGCAGAAAGTACGGCAGGTTAGCAGCGTACAACCGAGCGCTACCTGAAGAGTGCCATTAAACGGTAAGGCCGAGCGCTATGCGTATCTGAGCTGCTCTGTCCTTGTAGACAGAGACACCTCCCCTCTTTCTTATCACTTAGCGCTGCACCAAGTAAGTATGAAACACAACAGGAACATCGTCCTTATTTCCCCCCAATCCTAGATGTTTACTTCACCTCAGAGGCTGTTAAGATACATCCGTCGGTGATTATCTAAGCAGTTGACACTTTCTTTGCTTCACAGCAACTACCGCTATTCCTCTTTTCTCCACCTTCCGAAAGCATTTTCAGTTTCTCGCAGATGACTTGAAAACCTCCGGGCAGTCAAAGGCGAATGCTCGTGAGCTGAACGGAACGGGCTGACTCTCCCCGACTGCCACAGCGGAGTCTTTGTTGTAGGAACAGAAAGTGAAGGCATCTGCTGCTGCGTATTGTGAAAACACAGAGACTACGCCAGGGGGAGCAGGTTTGGGGCAGAACTGGCTGAGGGTTGGGAGGAGGCAGGAGCTGAGCCTCCACGAGGGTAGGCAGCACCACTGCGGGCCCCGAGCAAAGCAGATGACTTCAGCATGTGGATTTGGCCCGGTGACAGATTTGGTCGTTGGGACACAGCTCATCAGGCACAAGCGGTGCCAGCAGTTGGACTGGGGTGGAAAAAACCTCTCCAGCCCCATAAACGTTCGCGTGATCCCACGTGTCTGTTTCACCTTACTTCAGATTCCTACCATACCGCAGGCTAAGAAAGGAGGAGACGCAAAGCCAAGAAAAAAGCAGTCCACCTCCTTCCCTGTCAGGCACAGCATCTCAGCCTCCAGCAAGGCAGTACAAAACGTACACCCAAAAAGAACCAAAGCCTGTAAGCATCTCTAGCAGATGCTTCTGTAACACCACGGTGAGGCAAACAGCTCGTCTCCCTCATCTAAAATGAACGCATATAATGAATTCAGTGTTGGGTCTTAAGTTAAAAGAAACTTGCTATACCTTCCCACACACATATATTGACACCTCCCCATTTCACTCATCCCCACCAACAGCCCTTGAACTACTTTCCGTAGATTTTTACCTATCATCTCTAAACTGCTGTTGGAAAAAAAGGTGGCAATGCAAAGGAAGGAACAGTTATCACTATAATAAAGATAAGAAAAAAAGCCTATCCTCAATCAGTTACGCAAACAATCCTGCTTGGAAGGAAAACTCCAGGTAATATATGAACAGCAATATGACAGAAGATACCTCCTGTAATGAGCAATAACAGATGTTACAGTTAGTTTTCCAAACCAATTCTGAATCGTTTCCGGCATAGCAATGCTTATTTGACATTACAATAATGGGTTTTAAAAGCAGTCTTACATAATTTAACCATCTTGAGTTTTGTTCTAGCACAGTTCCTTATTCACAGCCAGCAGGAGCTCCCACGTGGTTTGTTCTATGACCCAACGAGGACTTTCAGAAGAAGCTTCGTTGCAGCCTGTAACAGTTCAACTTTTTAGGATGTTCAGGCTCCTCAACAGTCACATTCACCTGAGCTATACAGCAATAGAGTAAGCTAAAAATCACTACATGGCACTCTTCCTTACAATCATCTTCCATGGCCAGCTCAACATTTCAGCATCTCATCACCTGCTCTTTTAAAAAACTGTTTCATGGTCTCAGCAGACGCTCCCTCACTTGGTGGGGGGGACGGGACAGACACGGCGACGAGACAAGAGCTGCAGGTCTTCCCTGTTGTACTCTACCATTCAGTTCAGCCTCCTAAACATCTACACTAGGTATCGTAATATCATAGCCCGTGGCACAGAAACCTCAGGCACCATGCACTACAGCGAGCTGGTCAAAAGGTGGGGTTCTTTTCCTCCCCACATACCGTCTACATGAAGAAAGCTGTCCTGTCCCCATCACTGTAACAACCAACAAGGGCCATACCTCTCCAAGCAAAGGTTTTCTGCTCAGCTTCAGCTTTGAAAGTTGAGCCTTAGGCTCCTAACACCTCTGAGCACTCTGAGTCACAATAAATTCCCCAACTCCTACATTGCTTTTGGGTCTAGCACACTAAGAAAATGCCATTTATCTAATCAGCGAAACTTACCTTCTGAATAAGATATTCCCAATCCCTTTCTCCAGAGCAAACCAACTTACTGTGCTTTTTTTCATTTGCTTTATTGATGCTCCTGCTTTCATTTCCTCCTCTGCTATCCACACCCACCTCAGCTGCATCAAATGCAGTGAGTCCCACCTGCAAGCTTTTCACACAGATTAGGTGATAGTGGCAATACTTTAAAAAAAACCTGCTTTATAGATCTCCCATTCTGGAACTGGTTAAGTTGAAGTACTTTGTCAGGAAGTGTTTTAATGTGTTTTTTTTTGTTTGTTTGTTTGTTTGTTTGTTTTTAAAGATGCTTGAGTACCCTGAATCAAAAAAGATTATTTTGATTGCTACAGTCCAAGGACATGAAGCAGTTCATGTTTAATTTAAAATCTTGGTTTGGATTTACCACGATTATTTGTCGAAGTTGAACATTAAGATAAACCTGAGAATACTTTTTTATAATTACTAGTGTCTGCTCTTTATTTATTAACATGTAAACACCTTCAAATATTTCAAAGAAAAACCATAATAGTAATGCAAGCTTCATCGTGTTGATGGAAATACAACTATTTATGTTTAAAAGAGTAGCCATCGTTTCAAAATAAACATCCAACACTTTCACAAGTGATTTTTTTCTCTTCTCTGTTCATTTGAAAACAGATCTCTCAGTGCATATATTAAGAACGTGATTTTTCTTCAGCTTTGCTGCATTTTTAAAAATAATGTTGCCTACAGTCTGTTCTCCGCTCCCATAAGGGCTACATATGTTGCTTCTATGAGAATTGGATCTTCCCATGGCTTTTCAAAGCATTTACTGCTTGAGTATATGTTTAATCTTCCTAGAAAATGTTTCAAAATAAGAATAAAAGGCTGCAATTTTTTGTTCTAAAAATGTGTTTGGAGTTACGTACTGCTACCAAGCAATTGTGAGCTGCTTGTATGTAGCAGATATTTATAGATGGTGAGGTAAGAATGGTTCCACGGAAGTGAGATACAACGTGGTGACTTTACTAGGGCGTGGAACAGGAAAGAAGAACATCTTGATTCTCTTTAGCCAGTAGATATTTTGCCGTCAATTTTAAAGACCACAGGAGCAGATCGTAAGGCCGTGTTTTAAAATTAAACCTCAAAAAACCACAGAAAAATACCAGTTGGTGCTTATAAAATGATTTCAAGAACGCTTTCGATTTTCTTCTCTCCCTGCAAAGGGAAATGAAAATTAATTTTCAATAAAATCCAGGTATTTCTGTTCTGCCTGTAGTAAGCGAACACTTGCCCGTTCACTGCGTAGCCCGTTATTAGGTTAGCAAGCAGTACTCTACATTGTAGGCTTCCAGGCAGAGGCAGCAAAATGCGGGAACACAGATTACAAATAATAAATAAGACTTTCAAAATGGATGAGTATTTTAAAAAATTTTATTTCATTTTTAATGAAACAACTGAGTTCTGCTCAAATTTATACAGTCAATGAAATAATCCTATAAAATGATTTTTCTAGGACATTACAAGGCACATAAATTACCAAATATAAACATAGAAAAGTAGCCAAAATAATGAACTAAGCCCCCATATGCCTTTAGCTATTTTCGAGGTGTGTGAATGATTTACAAGAATGTGAATCACTCTACTGACAGGGTAATGAATATTTCACATTTGGCATGACCAGCAAAATTAAAAAGGAGGGGAAGGAAAAGCTCAGATTCAAGAAGAGCGGAGGGTTTTGTGACTCAGGAGGGACCAGCACCTTCTGAAGCTCCTCCGGGGGTCAAAGGGCTGCGTGCGTCTTTGGCTGCTTCCCTTCACGGTGCATCACCCCGCGAGCACAACTGGCCAACTCTATTGTCTGACAGAGGAAGGGGCAACCTCTCAACTTCCCCACGCTTCTATATCGGGCAACTTTGTGAAAAACAGGAAGGATCTCCGTCCAGATCTAGCACTGAGCATTGTCTTTAGCTTTAAAGAGTGGAAGGTGTGGTAGGGGGGGTTTCTTGGGCTTTTTATTTTCTAAAGTAATCGCTTTGGGAAGTCGTTTGGCATGCAAAAAGTCTTTATAGTCTACTGGTTAAGAAAATCTTGCAACCCATAAAAATAGTCAATTTTTATTTCATTTCAAGAGGCATTACCAAATAATTTCCACAAATATTCATTTTCCACCTGCATATATATTTTTCCACTAGCCTAACAGTCAAGGATTCAATGTAATAAGATTTTCATACAAATATATCGTATTGTGTATTTTCTTCCATTAACAGGATCCACTCCTTTATGTAACTCTAAGTATACATTCACATATTAAAGAGTAATAATTTGGCTAAAAATATATGTCTATTTCTTATCTGATTGTAGTAATTAGCCTATCGAGGGTAATTTGCTATAAAAGGTACAGTACTAGAAATAAATAGTTCTACAATTCAAAGATCTTCAAAATGGGTTGCCATTTCCAGTCTGTCTTAAATTTTCCAAAGTCCTTTTAAAGCATAAACTAAATTTACTACACTTGAGAAAATAATTTGGACCTACATACGTAAAGTCCCGATCACATGAGAAGCTTATTTCACTTAATCTCCTTCTTGGTTTTGTAATGGGCAGAAACCACCAGGTAATTGTCTGGATTCATGTCCCTGAGGGTTGGAGACTTGCTCTGGATTGGAGAAGTTTTCCCATCCACTCGGGAGATCTGCAACATTCGGCACGGGTCATGCTTCAGTAAGTAACCTGCAAAAGTCTCCCATCCTCCTCCAACACGAACCATCACATGTTTGTTGTGCAGCATCTGAAATTACATATACAGGAGAAAAAAAAACCCACAAAAACTCTTGAAAGTGAACCATACAGTGGGAAATCATATTTTTTTCTACTGGAAAAAGCTGTGCTTACTTTAATTAAAGGTCACAGACACAGGTTCGTAGACTGCTATTACAAATAAAAGGAAAGGAAAAGAAAGAGTAGAATGATTTTTATTTGAAAGAAATAAAAGAAAAAACTAAAGAAACTAAAACTAAAGATTTTCGTATTTTATGTAAACAATGCTACATGTTTTTCTAGTCCTGCAGTGCTGAGCGATCCTGTTCTCCACACGTTGAGTATAAACATGTTAAGGAACATGAATGTTTTTCAGATTAATTTCTTCAAAATATGTTAGTAACGACACCATTTTATAGGTCTCGAAACCGGCTTTTCTTTACAGGATAGGGACCTATAGAAAAGGAGTAGCGAAGGACAAACAACCAAAACAATCACCTCTACCTCCTAAAATATCAAAATAATTATTTAAGAAAATGAAGTACCATTTAGTTTCACAATTCAGTACTGCTGACATACAGTCTAACTCAAGTAGTCTAATGTTGTACTTAAATTAGTCTAATGAGGGACATCAGAAATAATGTATCTGGAAGTGTTTGGAGATGCCTGAATTTATGCTGAGTCGTGCAAGAAAGTACAAGAAAAGTCCCCGGGCTCTTACTAGCGGGAAAGCTGAGTACTGCTTCCGCTCGCTGTCTTTATTCCAGAAACACTGGGGCTTCACCTACAAAACAATTTCGGGTAGAGAGGTGTATCTCCCTGCCAAATTAGGTGCCTATCTCTGACTTATATCTTCCAGATCCACACTCATTTTCTGCCTAAATTCAAATAAAATTTTTCACCGAGTCCGAATGTCATTTCTCACATCTCTGCACCTGTGAGTTCAGTTGGCAGTTTCACTGTCGTTTCTCTCCTCTGGTTCTCCACACAGAACACTCAAACAAAGACCAGTGAGGTATCACGAAGCGGCGTATTCTATAGAAGCCACACCATAAATCACGCGTTGAAGAGTGCTTTGATCAGTACATCTTTTGAAATGCTAAACATCATTTAGTTGTAGTGCCAGAAATTAAAAATTGGCCCTGTAAAAGGCATGCCAGAAGATGTTTAAAGTAGTCTGGGTAATGACGTTTGGATTTATGGCTGTGACGTGGATATGGGCTCTTCTACACGTCCAAAACTCCCTCGAGGGCTGAGAGTTTTTGCAGTCGAGACTTAAGTGGCACATAAGCCTTTTGTAACGTAGCACAATTCAGATTAGTACACACAGCATAGACAACAAAACAAGAACAATTCCCAATCAAACAAAATCACGGAAAATAAAAGGCAAAAACGCAACTCTTCAAAAAAAATCCCAAACACCCCAAGCAACAAACAAAGAGCCCAGACTAAAAATATGTTGTTTGACTTCTGTTACGTGAGGCGACAGATTCCCGGGGAGTGAAGAAAGCATGGAAAGCTGTACAACTTTCTGAAGTTGGGGATAAGCTTATAAAGAATCAAACTCTTCCTTTAAATAAGCAGCTGCAAATGAATTCTTGTTAAAAAGTTTTCATTTAAACCATTTTAACGCGAGGAAATTCTTGTTTCTGCATTTTGGTTTTTATGAGAAGCACGGTGGGAAGTCAATTCAGCTTTACAGATACGGAAAAAAAAAACATTACTTCCGATCCATCCTAATGAGAGCACACTCAAGTACTCTTAGTTTAATTAACATCTCTCAGCTACTGCGACTGCCTGTGCTGTTGCTCTGGGTTGAAGGAGTGTGCACCTCTACAAGAGCTACACACAAGTGAGGTTTTGCTCTAGATTTACATAGGTACGAAAGAACCAGACTCGCATCTTTGCCAGTCACACTTTTTCTCTTTCCTCTTAAGCATCGTATTTTAGTTTCAAGACTTCATTTTGAACTGACAATGGTATGACCAGCCCTCAGCGGCATGAGATTTGAATCAAGTCTTTAGTCTGGACAATATATCATGGAAGTAGCAAATGCTTTTTACATCAAGTTTGAAAACTGCGGTTCAAATGGTGACACAACCTTGAGACAAAGGAGTCTACAGAATTTTATTCAGCAACTTTCTTCTCTTTGAATGTGTAAAAAAGCATTTGAGAAATGCCCTAAAAACTTTTCACATAAAAGCATTTTAAGCCCAACTGCGGTCCGCTACAGCATGTGATGCTGCTGTGGGAAGGAGTTAACTCTTGCTGAATTTCAGCTTCCACTTACTGTCACAGGGGGTTTCGCGTTCCAGGAGCAGTTAGTATCTGGACTTTTGATTAAGAGTTAGGAATGGAAAGTTAGTAAAAAGTGTATTTGGTTCAGTTGCCCTCAGGGACTACTGTGCAGACAAATAAAACCTACTGCTGGTAAGTTATTTCCTGATGCTCAGGTTAAATGTACATCTTCTGGTTTTCCCCTCTTTTTGCTTTCTCTTTGGATTATTATACTGTTATAAAATTCATTGAATGCTTGCTTTCTATAGAGACTGAGTTTTCCTACATCCTAAATATAGTCATTGTTCATGCTGTGCTGTGACACAGAAGCACCATTTTACTCCTACGGCCATATTTTGATTTTAGTAACACCAGCACAAATCCAGAATAATTCTGCTCGCTTCAGAGTTGCTCCAGGTTCACAGAAGTACAAAGGATTTCTCACCAAGAAAAAAAAAAGAAGAATAAAATAACTTGCTCTACTTTCTAACTGAAAAAGCAATTTCCTCCCAACATGCTTCAGCTGAAGATGAAACTTTTGAGATTTTGTGATCCACCCAATTCAGCTTTTTCATTGCATGAGATCTCTGAGAAAGAAAAAGCTGGATTCTACAATAATAAAGTTTATTAGTCAGTTATTGATGTAAATAAATTCATGACATACATGTATTTTCACACTGCCACCCAGCCAATTGAAACTGAGAAAACCCTTTCTGTAAAATAAAATCCAACATATGTTTACGACTGCCATAAATCTTTATTATTTCAGTTGTGTCTGAAGCAGGGCTGTCACAAAAGCTGTTCCCTCTAGAATCTGTGGTTCACATGAATCTGTGGTGAAGCAGATGACCAGACCATAGCGTCGCAGAGGGAGAAATTATAGATTGTTTTGGTGTGCATGAAGGCTGTATCAAGAGATAACATGAAAAACAGTTGATAGAAGTTAGGTGCAGTAAGCTGTCGTTGCATAGGAATTTGGTATCACAGTGAAATATAGTCTAAACAGTTACGGGTTTCACATAAATAAGTTTAGAGAGTTTTATGGCTTATTAAAGAGGTATTAGGCTGTATGTAAAGATATTAAGCTCATATAAATGAGCATAGCTTTACTGACTTGGAAAAAAAAATCTATTGTTTTACAGGAACCAAAAATCTGGCCCAATATTGTTATTCTTCAGATTATATTATAACTTTCTTAAAGAATATTTCAGGGAGGGGAGGGGAAAAAGGAGGAGGAGTGACACGCTATGGACCTGCTCCAAGTACTGCAAAAGCCAACAGAAAGAGTCTTACTGACTCCAAAGGAACCTGGGCTGGGCTCTGGAAGGCAAACACAGCAACCTAAAGCAGATCATAGCCCGGAGCTAGCTGCTGTGATTTTAGGCCAACTTCAGAAACGATGTAGGCTTCATACTGAGACCACATTGACTATAAAATCCAAAGGTGTTTGGCAAAATAACGCAGCGCGTTGCACCAGTGGCTGTGCAAAGAAAAAGCTGCACTCCAGCAGTGAAACATTAATGAGATTGGGAAAGAGATGTATTCAAAACACATCAGTTAATTTTTACTGAATATGAGCCACTTAGACTCATTGTCATCAGTAGATACAGCCCTTGTTTCTCATACCTTAGCATTTAGAGGACCCTCTTTGAGAGGTTTTCAGCCCAGGAAATGGGCTTCTAGATCTATTTTTATACTGACCCCAGAGACGTCGCAGGCCAACGCTACGGAGATCCCAGTGTTATTAAGACGTATCCACATTACTGTGCCAGGCCACTACCGATAGCAAGGTGGAACATCTCACCACTGTCCCTGCAGGCTTTGAGGCCTGAGGTTAGTACACACGCACACGGTACCCTCAGACGTGGCACCTGACTTTATGTATTTGCCACCAGCCCAGATGATGCTACTTAGGAATCATTTTGCTCCAGCTTGTCTTTACCAATTGTTGTTGATCTATCCTGCTATCTATGCAAACAAAACAAAACAAAAAAGCTTTCTCAAATCTCACTATTATTCACTAACCATTCTTAGTAAAAAGAAGGTGAGAGCAGTTCTTGGACCAAGAACAGGACCCAGATCTGGGCTACCAGCCTTCCCCAGCAAGTCTCTGAGCCTGTATCTAGAATATGGTATTGTCAAGTAATGACACACTGTTCCACATGTGGACATTTTCATGGAGTAGGACATCTCTTCCATACAAGCAACCGTGGTCTCCCTCAGCATCTTCCTAGTTGTGGCCTGAAGAACTGAAGTTAGGAGAGAACTTGCAGCCTGTGGCTGTGTATGTGGCTGACAGAAGGTGAATTCTTCCTGGAATTTGGTATGCATATCTATATGGAAGAGGAAAAAGTATGAGCTTGGGACTTGAGAGACTATTGCTTCAAAGAACAAGGCCTGTGTTGTCGAGTGTCAGAATTTTATTCCTTCTCACAGCAAAAAATGTTAATGGTAAAGCTCTAAAGCCAGCAAAATCAGTCCTCAAATTCCCCAGCAATTTCGATGCTTAGCAGTCACCTAGTCCTTTTGAAGATGGCCACAGAAAATGCTCACATCATTGAATGTGGAGCCAGGTCTAGCCTAGTCAGGCCCTGAGAAAGACTCTGTGAAAGAAAGACAGGCAACGTGCAGAGAAGTCCATCTAGCTGTATGCCTTCACAGAAGCTCCAACGCTATAAGGTCAACATCCCTGACACTCATCAAAACACACACAAGTTCATGTTAAGAGGTAACACTAATACTCCATTCAAAGGG